TTTTTTTTTTTTTTTTTTTTTTTTTTGGTACCTGGGATTGAACTCAGGCCCTTGCACTTGCAACGCAGATGGCGGAACCACTGAACCAAATCTCCAGCCTTAAATCAGTGTCTTTGAGAGGCAGAATCCCCTAATGCCATCATGCCTGGGCTGTAGCTATTAATAACAACCTGTGCAGACAGGGCTATTCCAGTGTTTGTTTCTACAAGAAGGACTTGTTGAGATGCTCGAGAGTGGACATGCGGATACGGGGAGGGCAAGCTGGGGTCCCAGTGGGGAAACTGCAGGATTTGTGTAAGGGGTGGGAGTAAAGGCAGAAGGTGTGGAGGCTAGGGAGGGCAAGGTTCCTTAGGGGGCAAGTTGCTCAGAGCTCATGTAGTATCTGCTGTCTACAGAGGAAGAGGAAATGGGCAGGAGTGAAAAGCTAGCGATCCTTCCAAATGGGCATCAGCAAACTACACACCAGAGGCCCCAACAGAAAGCTGCTGCAAGTTGGGTAACAAGCAGGGTCTGGTGCCTCTGAGCTTTCCCCTGAGTCCATGTGTCTGCAGAGCTCATGACTCAGGGTCCAGAGTTGGCTTAGGGGGTCCTCTGGAGCCCTGTCCTCTGTGCCCACTCTCAGTGTGTTGGGCAGAAAAGTCAATATTACAGTGAGGGAATACACTGGGCTCTCTCTCCATCAAAGGGTTGCAGTCCCTTTCCCATGCATGGAGCTCTGCCTCCCCATTCCAAACACTTTCCAAAGATGGGAGGAAGGCAGGAGCAGAAACGTGCTGTTCCTGTCACTCAGGACATTTCCTGAGAGGCACACACAGCTCACCTGTTTGTGCATCACTAGTCCAAACCTCATCACTGGACACACTAAACTGCAAATGAAAGACATCTTTTAACCGAAATTTGGGGTTCTTTTTAAGGAGGAGAAAGTTTTCTGTAGGAAGTACCAACATTCCTTCTGCTTCAAAGCACATTTTTCGTAACACAAAAGGCCAGCCAAGGCCACTAAATGCACACCTGCAATTCTCAGCCTCTGCTCCCACCGAGCCCTTGGCTGAGACACTCGTAGTCCTCACCATGCAGAAGAATGGCCCAAGCAATGAACAGGGGCCCAGGGGCCTGACAAGGAACACCATTTGAGTCTAAGATTTGACAACTTGAAACAATGAAAGTATCAGGGTGGACGTCCCAGAGCAGACCCCTGACCACATTCCCATCTTCAGGGCTGGCCTGGCCTAGAAGACAGGAATTGTCCCTTCAGAGGGATTGTGCCATCCTGTCCTGGCCCTCCCAAGCCCCAGGGACACTGGGGTCACATCCCCCACAGCTCAGGAAGATGGTACTGCCTCCACACAGCCCTCTCCACCCTCAGCCCAGATTTCTCCAGTCAGTCCCACACTTCACCTATGGAGGAGTTGCTGCTTTTTCCTCTGGAAAAAGAATGCTGTTGCCGCCCATAGCAAATTAAAATTAAGTGCAAAGCTATTTCCGGGTCAGTTAAGCACAGCAGGTCACTGGCTCTCCATAGCTCTCAGAGTAGGCAGGAAATATTTCCCAGCTTAAATGTCCTTGGATACTGAGAATTGTTCACTGAAGATGAAATAGCTGTGTTTGTGACTTTGAGATTTTAAGGTGCTTTTAATGTAGTTCAGAGCATGATTGCAGCCAGGGAGGGGCTAAATATTTCAATAAAATCAGCTTAAGCATGACAAACATGAAAAGCAGCCATACCTAGGTTTTGACAGGGATTAATAAGTTACCTGCTTCTCAAACTTTAATATGTTCCAGAATCTCCTGGGGATCTTGTTAAGATGCAAATTTTGAACCAGTAGGTGTCCAAGAGGCTGCAGCTCTGCATTGCTAACTCAGTCTAGGTCAAGACTGCAAAACACCTAGGACCCAACCCAGCCCCCAGCTCACAGTGAGCTAAGAACTGTTTCACACTTTTAAAGGGCTGTCAAAGAGAGCCAAGACCATCCAGCAGAGACCTTGTGTGCCCCTCAGAAGCTGTGATATTTATGACCTGGCCTTTCACAGAGAAAATCCCCTGACCTCTACCCTGGTGATTAAAAGATTGCTGTCAGAGGACCACATCTGGAGCAGCAAATTTTCAACATCAGCTTGAAGCTGCATTCTCCTTCCTTCCCAAAGTCAAGGATGTGTCAGGTTGGGTGGAAAAGGAGATTAAATTCTTGGAATGAATACAAATATATTACAGACACAAATGCAGGTGTAAGTATGTGAATATATGATAAGATAGACAGATGAAAGAAGATAGATAAGAGGCAGATAGATGATAGAAAGGTAGATGGATAGATAGATAGATAGGGAAATAGGTGGATGAATGGGTGGATGGATGGATAAATAAAGAGTAAATAGTGAGAGGTGATAAAAAGACAAATATGAGAAAGCAAACAGATGATAGACAGGCAAAGCTATTGTCAAAGACAAAGACTAAACAAGTGAAGAGTTGATTTTTTTTCAGGCTACTGCAGTAGGGAGAGACCTCCAGATCGAGGCAGCATGGTCTCAGTGGGTGTTTTTGCCTCCAGCTTCTCTAGGAAGTGAAGACAGTTTGCAGGTGGGTGGCTTGCTACTGGGATACCTGATAGTCAGGGCAGGTGTCTTCAGGTGAGGGGGATGTTCATCTCTGTATTTGGCTCGCTGTAATTCTAATCTTGGGTCAGCATCAGCGAAACACCAGTGTGACAGCCGGGCCAACATTTGATCCATTGGCAGATTCAGGAACAGGTAAAAAGTCAGAGTGTGGGTGACAGTCACAGGCATGGGGGTCCTCTGTGCATCTCCTGGGAGTCATAAGGAAGAGTGGTCAATGACCATACAGCTGCACCCTGAGAGGTGTATGTCCCTGCAGCTGGTACACATGCTGTATAGGGGTCTCCACTTCCCCCGGCAGTCCCGTGGTCTCCGGCTCCAATCATCCCTTTACACACATGGACCTTTATTAATCATTCATTAATAAATGGTCTCTGTGGCAGCCCTGTTCCATGATTGTGCTGACCCCAGTCATGTTGCCCACAGCACACTTGGCCTTGATGTGGTCTTTTCCCACCCTTGGGTGGTCCCGCACAGAGCAACTCCATCCTCATGAACGCAGGTTAGTGCAAGGCAGGGACAGCAGGGCAGGGCAAGTAAGGTCCTTAACTTACTGGGGACACTGTAGCTTCTGAAGAGTCAACTCCTCCTTGGTCAGGCCTGGATACATCCAGTTTGCAGCAATTTTTCTCTGTCTTAATAAGAGCAGTTTATGAGATCAGGTGACATTTACCACTTGTGTGTCTCTTCGGTCATTGAATTCAAGGTGTACAGTCCTGAAAGGAGAGTTTGAAAAGTTGTAACTGAGCCTGTTCCTCTGAGGCCGAGCCATTGGATTCACGCAAGCCTCCTTCCCTCAGCAGCAGAGAAACCCAAGCTTCCCACAATGCTCAGCAGTTCTGAGCATCTGGAGTGGAGCTTGCTTTGGGCTAAAAGCACCAATCAGGAGCTCCCCATTCACTGTCCTCCACCCTTCTCAGGGCAGTCTGTGTCCTGGGCTGCTCTGGGCTCAGGTGTAGGCACTAAGGCATGGGCTGCTCTCTCTGAGTCTGGGGCTCAGGTCAGGGGAGGAGGTCTCCCGACACTGCGGTCCTGGTGTATGGCAGCTGCTGCTGCGTGTGGCTCCAGCACCAGGCCGGTCCCTTCTGAATCATGCTGCTTTAGGTCCCTCTGGTCCTCTCTCCTGGCACCCCAGTCCTCCACAGCAGTGCCCCCAAAGGCTTGTCTCAGTCTGCTCCCCTGACCCCCTTTCCCATCATCAGCCACCTAGCTCAAGTGATTTTCCTTGAGTTTCACTGTCCTGGGCTACTCTCAGATTTTGCCCTCAACCTGAGACCTCCCTCAGGGTCTCTGGTGTCTTCACCTTTCTCCATGCCCACAAGCGAATCTTCTTCCCTTTGCTGTGGACCCAGGCAGCATCTGGATGCTAGCTGTGCCCCCAGATGCCCTCTTCCTGCCTGCTGGTGCAACTCTCCACCCTTGTCAGTAGGAATGTGCCCATTAGGAATCTGCTCCTTCTCCCCACCTTCTGGTTTAGGTAATGGAAACCTCTGCCCAGTTTTCTGGGTTTTGGCAAGCTAGAATCTACATTCTTTTTATCACTCATGATAAAAGCTGACTCTTTTTAAAAAGTGCTGCTTTCAGTATTACCATTTCTTCCAAAGATTTCCAGATGTCTACACAGTGTGTCCATTGGGTTTGTGCCTCCTATGGCTGTAGTGGCCCTTTTGAGACACGCACATGGCAAGATTTCACCACTGCCTGACCCTGATGAGGGAGGGGACAAAGGGCCAAGCTGGTGCCTTATCATCTTTGAATGCAGTCCTCTCCACAAGCAGAGATGCTCTTCCTGCACCCTGGATCAAGGATTCTCCACTTCATTGTGCAAAAGCACTGTTAAGAAGCTTGCTGGAAATGCACACTCTTGGTTCCCCTAGAGATCCTGGCATGTTTGTTTTTAACTCAGGAGTCATTTTGAGATGCATTTAGTGGGGCTGTCTGAGAGCTGCTGTCTCAGTCAGCTTTCCTGTTGCTGAGACACAATATGCAACACCCACAACCTAAAGGAGGAGAGCTTTAATTTGGCTCGTGGTTCCAGAGGATTCAGTCTATGGTCAGCTGCTCCAAGGCAGAAACATGGTGGAAGGATGTGGCAAAATAAAACTGCTCAGCTCAAGGTGGTCAGGAGGCAGAGCAATGGAACAGTGCCAGGGAAGAAGGGGAGAGACCAGACATAAACCCCAAGGTCACACCTCCATAAACTACCCACCATTAGCATGCTCCACCCATCCCCTGGGCCAATCCTAAAGCCAATCAAATTGACCTTCTACCATAATTGCCACAGAAGCTCTGCAGGTGTAAGGTTTGGGCAAAGATCCTTCTCACCTTGGCATTCCTTTTGGCACACGAGGAGGAGCAAGCATTTGGCTAGAGTGAAACCTGTTCACCCACATCCCTAAGGGGACCTCTTTGTCTCATGGGAAACATTAAAACAAGCATTTTCAAACGGCTGAAATGAAACCCAAGATCCAGAGGTGAGACAGACATCCCAACAATCTTTAAATCATCCATGTTTTGAGAAGAGAATCACAGCTGGAGTATGATGGTCATTCATGCAGAGAGGGAGGCTGACCCAAGCAGCTGTCTGCAGAGATGGGGGCCGATGTCGACCATTAGAGCCCAAGCGGACACTGTCCCTGCCCCTCCTTCGTGCAACCTTCATGCTCCTGTACCAGGACTGGTGAATGCGTGGCCAGCTTGCTCACAGCTTCCACACAGGAGTGTTTCTCTAGCCTCCACCCAGCAGAAAGACCATGTCCACTAAGGGTTGGCATAAAATCCAGAGATGTGACAACAGCACCACCAGGGCTCTGTGCACACTACAGCACAGACCAAGAGTCTTCGCTCTCAGCATCATCCACAGGGACACTGGTGAGCCAGGGAAGGATTGAACTGACCCTACTCCAGAGTCAATGTTCACTCCTTCACCGGCCAATGGTGAGGTCCAGATAGGCCAAAAAGTCCAAAGAAACTTCACAAACAAGCCTCCGTCTTCTCCCTGTGCCTCTTGTCCTATATCCAACACCCCATACCCAGTCATACTGACAAATTATAGCCCCCACACACCAGGCTTAACCACTTTTCTCCCTGCCCAGAGTGGACTCAACTTTCCCATGCCAACCTCCAGGAGTATCCCCCAAATCCTTGAGATATACAGCCTACCTTGCTGAGATGAAACAACAGCTTTAGTTTGGATGCATCCTGGAGCTCTTATAGTGGTCTTTTGTCCACAGGATAACACAGCCAATTCAACCTACTTGCCACGGGTAGAGCTCGAGTATTCCACCCTGGTAAAGTCAGGTCAGAAATAGCAAATAATCCTACTCTGTGTGACTCCACAGCTCAGTTTTCTCAACTCTAAGAGTAGGAAATTGGTGTTCCTAAGGAGTCTAGAGGGCGACATGGTTTCTCTGGTTCATACCAAACAGATCCATTAGATAAATCAAATCTACAGACAGGAGACGATGAGTAAGGATGCTAATGATGGTGGTGATGATGGTCGTGACGGTGATGGTGGTGATAATGATGATGGTTATAATGATGATGGTGATGGTGACGTCACGATGATGATGGCAGTGATGATGCCAATGGTGATAGTGATGATGCTGATGTTGATGGTGCTGATGACAGTGACAGTGATGAGGATGATCTGATAGCGGTGGTGATAGTGACGGCAATGATGGTGATGGAGACGGAGATGGTGGAGATGGAGCTGGTGATGATGGAGATGGAGATGGTGACGGTGCTGGTGACACGGTGGGGATGTGATGAATGTGGTGATACTGGAATGTCTTGTGGTGGGCACTTGTGCATTTTGCCATGGCATGGGATTTTACATGGAAGTTTCAACCGAGAAGCTAAATTGACAGGCCAGATACCAAAATGAGTGCTGTGACTATCTATCCTTTATAAATATCAAAGAATGAAAATTACTTACATGATAAAAATATCCAATCTGATGTCTGTTTAATTGGCTTAATTACATTTTGTGATTAATTATGATCATTAGTTTATTTGAACTTGTTCCTACTATTTTACACCATCTGCCCTGTGCTGCTTCTGTCTCCCAATTTCCTTTCTTTTATCTTATTTAGGTTGCACTTTTGCTTTTCTTTACTTGCTGTTTTCCTCTCAGCTGGCACGAAATCTGTACAGTCCATTTTTATTGTTTTGATTAACCTTGGTAATTTCCATGCATACCCAATGTAATAACATCTGAATAACAGAATATCCCAACACTATTCTGGAAAAAAATCATTTAACTTTAATCACCATGACTTCCCTTTCTTTATAATTGCAAGATATCTTCTCTTTTGAGCCCTAATATGAGTTATTGCTCACATTCTTAACAAATACAGGCGCATTTTGTTTTTTATTTATGTGTGTGTTTGTGTTTTGCAGCATGACTTGCATGTTATGGGCTTACCAGGACATTCAGCTTAGAGCCGTCTTTGGGGATCAGGCTTCTTTATGCAGAAGTGTCTGAGTCGAGAATTTCTAGTGAACACTCGCTTCTTGTCTGCCTGGCAGTGTCTCTTTCTCTCTTGGACTGAAAGGACCCTTTGCCGAGTAGCAGCGCTGCCTCACAACATTTTGAAGCTATCCTGCCAGCCCCTTTCACAGCCACTCTTGAAGGCATCCTTTACCCTTCTGACTGTGGCTCACTTCTTCCCCTTCACGTCTCAGTTCCTCCTTTGCTAGTCTCAGCTCCACTGGCAAGACAGGAACTGAGGACTTCTAGCCATCCTTCCTGCTGGCGTTACCTGGTGCTTCCTGGATCCATGCCCCCTTACCCAGCATCTCTAGGTAGTTTTCAGGTTTCAGCTCCCCCCGCAAAAAAATTGTTCCCCTCCATTTTCTCCATCCTCTCCTCTGCACTTTGATCAGCTGCACACCAGGCCTTCTTATTCTGTCCTTATGCTAAAGGGCATTCATACCTTCTCCTTCCTATAAACTTTGGGCAGATCTTTGTTTCACGTACTCTTATTCAGTTGTGACTAACTGGGTGTTTCATCTACTGGATTATTTGTAAATGTTTAGCTTAGTAAATCACATGCACACATATACTCCTACTGTTTCTTTTTTTTTCAATTTAGATGACAAATAAAAATGAATATATGCAGGATGTAAAATAGGATGCTTTCATATATGCATATATTGTGAAGTGATTCAACAATCAAGTTAATTAATACACTAACGCATCCATTACCTGTCATAGTTACCATTTTTATGTATTTTCCTATAGTGAAGTCACTTAAAATCTGCTCAGCAATATCATGTGAGTGATGTGTTGCGAATAATGACCCTCACTTGATGTAAACTGGACCCCTTGACCTCATTCTCTAACTGAAACTTTGCACCTGTTGACCTCCGTGGAGCCCTCCATGAAGGGTGTCTGTGCCACTTGTCTGTCCACATTACATGGACTATTGGGTGAGGGCAGAGTCCTGGTCTCTGGGCTAGGTGTGGTTGGGTTCCCTCTACAGCTGAGCACAAGGACAAGTCTTGCCATCCTCCCTAGCAGATGGGGTCTGGTCACAGCTGACTCTGCAGCCCCTGGGGAGCTCCTGGGGTGAGCTGCCCGGTAGCAGGGGGGAAGCAGAGTCCTTAGAGTCCCACAGCTCATAACCACGATCGCACAGACCCTGGTCACCTGTGCCCCAACACCTGAGTATCCAGCTCCTTCCACGCAGGGCTCTCCCGAGCCCCCCTCTGCCACCCACCAGGGGGTGCTGAGTTCACCACCTGCCCCTGCTGGTTTTGTCTGAAAATTTCTACTTCCTGTGTGGGAGTGTGCAAATCCTTCTCTGCAGGAGAGGCAGGTAGGCAGGTGGGCAGGAGGGCAGGGCAGGGAGGTGAAGCGGGTGAGGCTGGGCTCATGGGGAGGGGACTCCAGGGTCACAGGGCGTTCATCTGCGCAGAGCCCTGTCCTGAGCATAAGAGTGCACTCTAGATGGTAGGGTAGATGCATCCTGTTGCACACTGCATCCTGCCCACCCCACCCCTCCAGCTGCACTCTCTGTGCCATCGGTGCGTGTACTTACTCCTCCTTGTCCACGCCTTCTTCGCATTCCTTCACACATCGGTGATTATTTCTCAGATGAGACACCCTCAAGCCACTCAGCCTCACAGAGCTCCTCCTGGCTCCCACACACGGCCATGTCTTCCTCCCTGAGAGAGGGGTCAGGGGAGGGCAGCTGTGATCGTCCCACGTGGCAATGCAAACGCAGCCCCCACCGCCCGCCTGCTGGGCTCCACTTTTAGAGGCTCATTATGCGTTGAGAGTGCCAGGCTGCAGACAGGCCTGCATCTTGATCAGGTCCCTGGGGCCTGTGCCTGGGGCAGCCCTTCTGGGTGATTGGTGCTGATTGCCACTCTTGCTCACTCTCTCTGTATACCTCCTCTCCCACTGTCCCTGAGCCAAGGTGCAAATATTTAGAATACTCACGTTATAATACATATCCCCACCGACTACGGGAGCCTTAGACTACAAACAAATATAAGTGTTTGCTTGCAAATAGGAGTGTGTATACACACACAGACACACACACACATTTCACATAGGTCTGACTCCCTCCACCATGCATGGCTCCTCGTAGAGAGAAAACAAGGTAAAGATGAGGGATTCCAGAGGAAATATCATCTCCAAACCACAGGAGAGGCTGCAGAGGCTATGCCTGCCCCACCAAGGGTGTGATGTCCTGTGAGGAACAGTTCCCAAGCACATGGCATCTGTCTGGTGGCTGGAGCTGCTGGGAACAGGAGGTGGATGGAATGCACTCCAGCGCACCGTCTGAGGGGAGGACTGAGGCCATTTTTCAGAAGGGCCATCAAGCTGTTTGAGAGAGGTGAACAGCTAGGCACAGGAAGCCACGGTCTCCCTGAAGGACTGCAACCTTTGCAGTGCTGTCACCAGAAAGCACTGACTCAGGTGACAAAGGGGCACCCAGCAGGTGAGGGCCTGGGGTACTCCGGATATGGAGCCTGCTGTGGGCAGTGTCTGCAGTGGTCGTTGCTGTTATCCTCAGGGGTCCTTCCGGTCAATTTACAGGTGATGTCCTTGGCCTGAGTTGGGTGAGGAGTAGCAGGGGACCTTTCAGGATGCCCTCTATGCCGCAGGTTGGGGTCCAATCAGCAAGCCCCACCATGTTCCTGCTCACACACAACCCTGTTAGCTAGAAAAGGTGCTTGCTTTCTGGGTTTTAACAGGGAATTTTTAAATCTTTATAATCATCTTGAAAAAAAAAAAGTGGCTCACAAAAATAAGGCAACAAAAGTGTCTAAAAATCCAGACTATATTGTTAGTTAGATTGGCTTTATAGTTTGAAGTCAGTATTTCAACATGAAGGTTGTTTTTAATCACATGGCTCAAGACCCCTTCTATCCTAAAGGAATGTTTTGGGGGACAGGTGGGTTGCCTTGTGGACAGGTAGAAGTGCAGAATGTATGTTGGACGCATCTTTCCTGCCAATTTTCAGGGTAAATTGGCTTGACTGTCAGTCGTATAAGGCTCGGTATCTGTCAGCACTGCACTCTGTGCTAACCTGTGGGGTGTGGGGGCTGAGGAAGGGGAGCGGAGCCCACGGCCCCCTGAGGATGGTACGGCACTGGGCACTGCAGTCCTTGCGCTCACGTGAGAGACTGCCAGAAATGCCGACTCCAGGAGTGCCCTGGATGCCCTGAACCAGAGCAAGATTCTCGGTGATGGAGAACCCTGTCAAAAGCAGTGACGCGGGGGCTGGATGGTGTCCGTCTGTGTGTTAACCGAAACCAGGGCCTGGTGTGGGCAGGAGAAACTAGATTATCATTTGTATCTGGCACTAAACTGTCCAAAGCAGAATTCTAATGTCTGCATGGAACCTGCTGGTCCTTACTTGCCTTTGAAAACATCTTTCTGAGTTCCAGATGAACCAGGCTATCCACACCTGTGTTCACGGGTGCAGGGTCGTAGCAGGTAAGCTGGAAGACAGGCATGCTGCAAATCAGTTAGACACTGTCCTTCTCTGACGTTGCTTCCCCTGTGACCACACGGTGGATACAAGCCTGCAGGTCCGCTTCTCTCAGTGATCACAAGAAACCTCACCAACAAGGCACAAGACCAGCTGGATTCAGAGGTGTGGGGTATGGAGCTTGAATGAACTCTGTCCTGACCTCAGAAAGATCCTTCAAAGTGCTCCATGGGGTGCACCAAGATCTTTGCATTGCTCTATTTCCACTGTCAGGAGTCATCGTGGGAAGAATGTATTCTGGCTGAGTTTTCTTATTGCTTTCCTGTAAGTCCTACATATTTTGTCTCTCCCAGGGGCCTCCCTTGTGATGCTATTGATTTCCTAAATATTTGCATAATAAATTTTCTTGCCCACTTTTTTATTGGCAAGGTTTATTCCAGTGGATCACCTTGCAGAAGTGAACTAAATGTCAAAAAGAAAAAAAAAAGTACAGGGTACAGAATGAAACATGTCACTTATAGGAAGCCCATTCACTTGGAGGCTGGACATGTTTTGGGTGTCTTCTCTGCATTGCTGTGGAGCTGAACTCCATGGGTTTTGCTATCTTGCATGATTTTAACCCACTGCCGAAGAGCATTCCCTGTGCCTGTTTTCTACTGAGGTTTCGACAGAGCCGATGATGAGAACAGATTCTCAAATACAGGAGCTTATGGTGAGGGGAGGCCCAGGGTCTGGGAGTGTAGGCTGAAAGGGTCTGATGGCTCATCTCATGCATAGAAGCTCAGGGCAAGGCTGGACCAAGACTGACACACTGTGTGCAGACCCTGCGGTTTCGGAAACCATAGGACCAGCTCCAGCGGGTGCCTAGACTGCACCACTGCATTAGTGAGGTGACAGGGAGCCCTTGTTCTGGCGGTCAGGGTGAGCCCACCCTGCGGGAGTCCCCCCCACCATGATGCCCACCTGGTGGCTCTCCCTCCCTTCCTGCTCAGCAGGGAGCTGTGTGTGGTGGAGTTAATTCTAGTGAGGTTGGGACTGAGTGTCTCTCTCCTCCTCCGTCCCTGGGCTTCGCAGGGCCAAAGTGGCCCGAGTCTCACGATGATAACAGATTGATATAATAAAGTCTTTTGCTTGAATTAGGAGGCAAAGAAATTCTCTCCAAGGATGCATCTTCCATTTGGCACTAGACGGTCCCAGAGGAGAAGATCTAGAGAGAGATGTGGAAAGAACCGGTTGGAGGGACTGCTGGGCAAAGCCTGCATTCTGGAAACCAGTGAGTCAGTGCCAATTAGAGACCCCTGCAGAAGAGTTGAGTGGCAAATACTAAGTCAGGCAGGTGGGCAGGCTCACGGCCCCTTGCAGCCATCCTGTAAGCACTGGCATAGGGAAATTTGGCAGGCAGAAGAAGAAGTGACTGGGGTCAGAGTAAGTTTTGGCTCCCATGTTAGTTCCCAGGCTTCCCTGACCATCAGAGGGAAAGAAGAGACCACTCTTAAGGGGCTGGTCCCGCCCCAAGGAAATTAAATGCCTCAGGAGGATGACAAGGAAAGGTCCACATTATATGTGAGAAATGGACTGTTAGGGACATATTTCAGGCGTCTCCAGGCCAAGATGGGATGTCCACCTCCTATTAGGGGGCTGGTCTGGTCTTTGAGCTTCAGCTCATAGCAGGGGTGAACACAGAGTCCTTGAGACACAAAAAGACAGTGATTTGTTGGTGTTGTGGTAGCAGGGAAGGGAGTCGGTGACTCTATGATCCACGAATCCATGCCCAACAGACTGCTACTGAAATGGGGGGCACTGGCTCTGGAACCCCAAAGCTTGTGAAAAGCTTGGCTCCTCTGGGGTGAGGGGCATTGCAAGGAACCAAGAGGGAAGCAGCTGGGAATTTGTGGGAAGTATGGGTTGAATACACCACTTCCGCAGAAAGTGGACACAGCTGTTGTCCTTGGCCAGGTAAAACCACATCTCTGAATTATGGTGCCATCAACACTGGCTGCATGCCAGATCTGAGTCCTACACCCAGGATCGAGCTATGGGATGCTGGGGTGGGGATGGAGCACCGAGGCATGACGATCTGTAAAGGTCAGTAGAGGGGAAACTGTCATCTTCCGTCACCACAACTGCAGTCCATGGTCTGAGGTGGAGAGACTCCACCCCCCAGGTCAGGCGTGATGCGAGCTTACTATAGCCACAATTCAGAAAGCTCTCCCGAATGAAGGAACTGGACGTCCACCTTGCCCCTGCCGACATCCAGACTTGAGAAACTGGGTAACTACCAGGGGGAAGGCAGAATCACTGGAACAGAAGTCCTGAGAGTCCAAGCCCCTGCTGGAGGCCAGGTCCCGCCACCGACAGACATGAGGACAGCCCGTCTACCCGCCTTGCCTTCCCAGACTCCAGGCAAGCAGTGAAAGAGAAGAACTCCGAGTTGTGGTCAGATTGTCACCACCAGAGCATTCTAGGGACCCATAGATGGAGAAGCAATAACAATTAAGAGGAATTTTACAGGAAATAACATTAGGAATTAGTTGTGGTCTCAAAACCCCAAGCATCCTTATCTGTGTGGCAGGACGTTTAATGGCAAGCAAATGGGGTTCTGGTAATGCGTCCAGAGCTGGGGCTTGCAGGGCTGGCTTCAAACCACACACCAGGAGAGTGGAGGCCCCTCCGGGTGTGGTGAGAGTCTGGGCTTTGGCAGTGAGTCCCCAAGGGGTTCCGCATCTCTGGAGAGAGCAAAGCTCAGCCTGGCTCATGATCCAGAACCACCCGGGACCTTAGCACATGCTCTATGTACCTGTAGGGAAGGCAGCAGGTCAGGGTATGCCATCTGCCCCAGCCGGGCAGGACTTGGTCAGTTTTATCCTCCTGTGAAAAGCCACCACGGTGCATTTGAAGTCACCGTGGAAGCCTGAATGCTTTCATCCTCAGCTAGCTATCATCAGCTTCACGAAGAGCCTTCCCAGGGGCAATGGGGCCCCCTCCCATAAGCCTGTGCCTGCCCTCATGGGCCCCTTTCCCACCTCGCTGAGCTGGCTCCAGTGCTTCCCTAAGTGGAGCCCTGTGTGGACGGCTTCTGCTTCCACCCACTGCTCCCAGCCCCAAACAAGCTGGGCATCACCCAGAGACCCTCGGGTGGGGAGAGGCGCCCAAGCTCCCTCGCACACAGCTCCTAGCCCTTGCAGAAGTCCGGC